TCATTTTTCCCTCCCTCTTGCTTTGATGATTAGTGTGAAAATTCAAGCAGGAAAAATTACAGGAGTTCTGCAGCAGTGCAGGGAGACACTGGTGTGAGGAGGTCTGACTTGGAGTGTTGTGTCCTTGCACATGAGAGCTCTGGTGCTTCCCTAATAGACTGAAAATGAGACCACTGCTGCTTTTTAAGAGGTCTGTTCCAGCCACATTGCTCTACAGCTTGGCAGATGGTGGCATGTGAATGGTTTCATATTGATTGGATGGATTTGCCTCGGGGTAATAGGAGTATGGGTCCTTAAAGATGTAACTCAAGATAGTTCTTTTTATTTGGAAAAAAAAAAATTCCAGGAAAATGTGCATTTGTGAAACACTTCTCTTTACATGAACAGAGTGTGTGGTAATCAAAGCACTGAAGTTGTGTGGAAATAAAAAGTCCTTAAATAGATTATCACAAAGACCAAAAAGCCAAGAATACTTATTTACTAAGTGATTACGTTTTTACATTAGAAGAAAGTGACACTTTTAATTAGTGTTCAAGGCATATGGTGAATGAGAAAATAAGCTTATTTCATGCAAACAGAAATCGATGCAAATAACCTTTCTCATATAAAAAGGGATGACTTGAAACTCAATACATATTCAAGAAGGTTAAGTCATTACTGCATCACTTTAATATTAGTTAAAGGCCAGCAAAGAAAATCACTACTCTGCATATACTTACTCAGCATGGACTGCTATAAATGAAAGGAAATGTATGGTGCTTTTAGGTGGTAAACCTAAAGAAGCCCTTGTCCATCTAATGCATTTATTCTTTAACCTCAGTAAATAACCTTTTGGGATCTGCCTTAGCACAGGTAGTTGCCATAGATGCCCTGGTTCCTCCAGCGATTTGTCCCAGCTGGCAAAGACATTTTGTGAAGCTCTTTTATTGTTCTTTCTCACACCTCTGCTTTGTGCTTTCAGTCTTGTAAATGTTTGTAAATCCTTCGGTATGAAATGACTTTTCAAATGTGTTTGTACAGCACCTAACACAAAGATCCCAATCTCATTCATGCCTCTGGGTGTTGCTGTAGAGCGTTGAGTGAATTGGTATTTTTTTATAGTAATGGAAGTATTTCTTGAGGTATTTGACCTTAAATAAAGTGGAGAAAAAATACTTAAATAGCTTGCAGACATGATGGAATAGGGACAGTTTGATACCTTGGGAGACTTAGGTGCTATTGAACACTGGATCCTTTCCATGTATTTCAATCTTGTGCTCTGATGCGTGCAGCAGTGGTTTCATAAATGAATTTAATCCACAGTAAGTCATAGCAGTATCTCATCAAGTTGTCTTCAATTTGCTTGAAGGTATAGTTCATATTTTTTAGCAGAATTATTTGCATGCTGAATTTTGTCTTTCCATGAAGGAACCCTCTTGTGAACGTAATCCTGATTTTTGTTCTTCTGTAGTGTAAACCACTTAGTTGGGTGTGCTTTCCCTTTTAATTATACTTTTTTTCTCAAAACTGATTGGATTTTACCGCTTTTGCTGAATAAAAACCTCCTGTATAAATTTTAAGGTCCCTTTAAAAAAAAAAATCTGTGCTAAAAGCTAAGTGATTTTAGGGTTTTGTTCATGGACTTGCTGCTCGGGAGGAAAGGGCATAAAACAGTGACGATTTTTTTTCCTCATGCTTGATAAGTGTAGGGGGGATTTACGTTGTATATCACAACCAGCAGCTATTCCAAGAAAAATCTTTAAGATGGTTACTTGGATCTGTGTACACTGCCCACCTGGTGGTTATGGAGTGAACTGTTACTTTAAAGAATAGTTTAAACAACAGCCATGTTTGGGGCAGGCTAATCTTGCAAAGAGAGCAGTACATATAACAGGAGTCTACAGTGTGATAAGGGGAAAATTCAGCTCACTGACTAGATATTTTAATGTGCGAACTCTAGGGAAATAACATATTGACTATTCTGTTGTGCGCAAGAAAATTGAAGAACCCTTTGCAGACAGAGGGCTTGCAAAGGATTCTTTCTGTTTCTCTTAACCAAAATCTGTGGCAAGATGTTTGAAATCAGCAGGACGCTTAATGCTGCTTTGTTAAATAATGAGGTAATATTTTGTCACTTTTTCTGGGCAGCATCTGTTTTTTCTCCTTTTTCATATGTTGGTGAAGGATTCAGTTTAATCTTATATAAGTAAGATTTTTTTTTTTTAAAAATCATTCTTCAATTTATTATTTTTTTCCTTTTGATGCTTTTGGAGAATTGGGTTGTCTTTTATTTGCGGTTTCAATCGGCTGCTGTTGCCTAGGACATTATGCCACGTAAGGCTTCTAAACTGCACAGAGTAGGTAGTTATTAACGCTGAATTGGCTTCTGGTATAGTCCATCTGGGCTCTGTATGAGAGAGCTTGCTAGCGGCTACTGATGCTAAGATACCCGCAACCTTTGGGATGTATGCGTGGTGGAGAGGGGCTCAGTGATATGAGATCACTTCTTTTAAGGGAAACTGTCATTAATGAGTCAAGAAACTGCTCATTTATGGTAAGGAGAGGGAGGGGGGGGCTGGGAAACAACCCTGTGATTTCATTTTGATATTGGATTAGCTGTTTAAGACAAGTTTCTTTTTTGTGGGGATGGAAGATTGCACTAAAAATATGCTTTGCGCTCAGGGGCTTGCTGGCTGATGCTGGAGAGACTGTATAGAGAATCTGATGCTTTACAAATGTCACCACCGTGATGCGGTGGTCAGTCCCTTTCCCTGAAAGATAAATGGTACTATTGGAAACACGAGAATAAGGTTGACTTTTTCAACAATAGGATTCTGCCTTTGTCTTTCCAGAGAGAGGCCTCTGAGGATGTTTGAGCATTTGTTGTAGTGTTTCTCGGAAAGGCTGCGTGTGTGGGGTGCTTTTTGGGAAAGCGGTCAGTGTGCAGAGTACCTGGATTTATAGATGGATAAGATTAGCAAATTTTTGAGAGAAGCAGCATGCGATTATTGTTTCAGAAAAATGGCTGAATCTTGATATGCATAACAAATTTATAGTAACAAAGTAGGCTGAAGTTGAAAAGACTTAAAAATAATTTCTGGATGCCTTCTCTAGTGTTATTAACCCCTGAAGAGACCTTAAGCAAAAAATATGCATTACAGATCTAACTTTAATACTAGATGTACGTTTGCACAAGAATCTGTGGTAATATACTAGCTGTTGTAGCATTTTGATGTCTGTGTGTTCAGTCTAATGGTCCACCTAAATTTGAGTTTGGAAATGTATCTTACAGGCTACTTTAATCTATGCTAGGTTTTACTAAGCTACAAATGTGCTTAGAAAGATGTGTGGTGAGAGAAAGCCTCTGCAGCCTTTCACATTGTTCATATTTTAATTGAATTCAGTGCTCATTCCACAAATAGATGGTATGTTTTTTAAATGTGATTTTTTCTCCTTGCTTGGTTTGTGTATAGCTGGATTTTATGATCTTTACTACATTTTCTACGTTTTATTGGTGTGTTTAGTCTCTGTGTGTGTTTGAGCATGTCTATGGTTTAAAGAAATTTAAAATGTACTGAGTGTCTGTCCCCAGCTTTAGCAGTGTGCAGGGAATATTTATACTTTTTAAAAGATGAAACTTGTAGAACAATGATGATTTGATTTATGTGTTTTAAAAATGGTTTTGGTGGTGTGTAGTTAGATTTTCTTTCTCTAGGAAAGAGCTAAGTGAGCTTATAATGTGGCCCATCCTAGCTTTCTCGGTTTTCAGCTCTTACGTTTAAAAATGCTTGCAATGATTCTTGTCTTTAAAAAGAACAAAAAAGTATTATTGAAATGAATCTGTCGATGGTAAAACTAAACGATCCTATGTGTATTAATAGAGAATACTCAGTTGCTTTAGTTGAGATAAATGTAAATTCAAGGTTTGTTGTAATTACCGAGTGCTGTGCCTTGTTACTTAGTACAGAACATGCTTTAGGAAAATGCCTCTCAAGTAAAGAGGAAGAAATGAATGCTTCATAACTTGTGAGAATTCTTACAAAACTTGTCGAGGTCAGAAAGGGGTAAAAAATTGCTGTTTGGAAGTGAAGTTTTGTTAGTTTGTCAGTGGCAGCGAGCGGAGGATTAATGAGTGTGCATTGTTAAGTTAAGCACGTTTCTCTAAGGCTGGAAAAGAAAATTCTTTTAAATGCCCAAAGTTCGCTGTTGTTTTATTTCCTGTCGAGCTGAAGAATAATGAAGTGAGGTGGCAAAATAATTCTGAAATACTACTGTTGTTCGGGGGAGTGCCCGATAAAGAGGTCTGCTGTGCCTTAGACATTGTCAAGTGGCAGCAACATCAAATCCACTCCTTTAAAAATACGCATTTTAAAAAACCTCATCGGGCGGAAGGAAGGAGAGATGGGTTGATTATTAAAATCAATAGTACCTGAAAATAAATGCAGCTTTAAATGCACGTCAAAGTGCTTTTGTTGTGCCTTTAAGCCTAGAGGCAGATCATTAAATATGCATTTCTCCGGAAAGCAACTGTCGAAAAAGATAAGGTGGTTAAAATACGCCGGACCTGGGAGCGGGGCGCGCAGGAGGTAAGGAGATGTAGGCACTGGAGCATGGCCGAGGTATGGCACCGCCGGGCCCAGGGGTGGGAACAGGGGGAACCAAAAAAAAAAAAAAATTTTAAAAAAATTAAAAAAAAAAATACGGGGCTGCGTGTTGTTTCTTCAACCGGGCCTTAATTACTAGACACAAGCAGCAGTTCAGAAATCTGGTCTCTGTTGTTGTAGAGGTCACCGCATCATTAACATTGTCAATCTGGCAGCGGCTAATTTCAATAGCACCTGATGTCGCAACGCCTCCCCCCCACACACACCACACACACCCTCCCTCCCCCCTCCCCCCGCGCGCGCGGCGCGCTCGGCCAATCAGCGCGCGGCGCCGCTGACAGATGGTCCCATAAATGGCGGTAAAGGGGCGACGGCGGCCGCCAGTCGCAGCAGGGCCCGCGCCGCTCCGCGCGCTCCGCTCCGCGCGTCCCGCCCCGCGCCGCTCCGCGCTCCGCCCGCCGCCGGCGCCGCCGCCCTCCCGCCGCAGCACCACACTGAGACAACGAGATAATATACTTAGCTATTCTTATTATTATTTATTATTATTATTATCGCTGCCGCTATTATTATTATTACCGATAATAATTTCTCGCCGCACAAACGTCTAGCAGTGTGCTTTGTGGCTCTTCAAAAAAAACAAAAGAGAGAATAATAATAATAAAATAATTCCCTGAAACCTTAGCAAAACCGTTAGAAGAGTTGAAGCCTTTCAAGACACCCAATATTTGCCATTAAGAATGGTTATGGTAGGTATTAGTAGTTTTAAAATCTGATCGTAGCGGGTTTATATAGAGGTAGATATAGAAGCTAACATACAGGTTTTCCCCGAATCTGCATCATTCTCAGTCTGTGTTTTCCCATGAATTTAGTTTTCTGCTACTGATCTGTTTGTACATGATCTCTCCCTTTCCCCCCCTCCCTTTCTCTTTCCCCCTCTCTCTCGCTCTCTCTCTTTCATATTTAATGTCTGCGTATCCTTTAATAAAGGATGTACTTTGTCATTTTAAGGTAATTGCGATTTCTCTCAGAATAAAGAGAAAAGCTCATTTCTAATGCAAGGCTGGTATGTGGCTAACTGAAATGCGAAGGGAAAAAGAGGCTTTTTTTTTTTTAAGGGTGGGGGAGAGTTAATTTCCACATTGACATTTTGGAGATACAAATGCAGAGCAAAATCCTTGGGGAGGGGGGGTGAAATGTTTAAAAAAAAAAAAGCCTCGAGATTGGTAATTTTGTTTTTGGTGGACTGCGCAATAGGTATGGTAATTTTAAAAGAGGGTGATTTATATGAGCTTCAGTAAATGCTGCATATTGTATTTCAAAGAGTTTCCTGTCGTGACCTCATAAAAAGAGGAGGAGGCTTGTATGTGTTGCAGTGCCTAGTATATGTCGATTTTGTTGCATCGTTGGGCAGCAGCGCTGTAAGAAGGAATGTCAGCTTTTACATAACGCTCTTTTTGCTTTTGACTCTGTGAGGGGCTGTAAGGGTCCATCTTTGTGATCACAGATGGAGTGGAATGGCTTGAAAATGGTAAGTGAACGGGAAGAGCCTGCTCGTGGGGTTTTGTCTCGTTTCTCGTGTGCCTCGCGAATTTCTTTTGTTCAGGGCGGCGGATCGTGAGTCATAAAATAAAATTAGAGAGCCTTGTTTATTTTCTTTTTTATTTTTTTTCGGTGGGCTATGTCTGCCTGTGTGTGTGCATCTGTAGCTGTACATCCATTTACCGTGCCTAGCTGCGATGGCACTCCACAGCGTTTCCATTGAACGAAGCGTTTCAGTTGAGCGCGGATGGTCTCTGCTGACAGTCACGGTGTCATGGTACCGCGTGTGCCTGGCGGAGCGGGCGGCCGATGATGCCTTTTAATCTCCGTTCCTATTACACCAGCCTTAAATACAAACCTAATAATCGCCTCTAAAATCCAGGTATCGCGTTTCCCATGGAGCCGGTGCTGTCGAGGATGGATGGATGGGTGGATGGATGGATGGAAGCAAGGGTGTGTTTTTTTTGTGTCGGGGTGGGGGCTGGGGTTGGGGGGGTTGGGGGAGAACCGCGTTGTTTTGTGCTTTTTTTTTTTTAAATGCCGGGAGAAGTCAAAGCCATTTATGTGAAAAATAGTATTTCTATTTTTAGCCCGTATTCTCCTGGCAGAGGAGCCCCGGACGTGCTCATCTCGTCCCCTCTTTTGTGCTTTTCCTTACAGATTGTGCAAAATGGCATGATCAGACACACAACTGCGGGCACCGGGGCTGCGCCGAGCGGGGCGACCCGGGTGGGGGCTGGGGCCGCCCGCACAATACCCGGCCCTCCTGCCAGCCCCGGGATGGGGGGGCGCCGGGACCCCCCCTTCCCCCGAATTTAACGTTTTGCAGACTTTTGCCGCGGATATTTATTATAACCGGGGAAACAAAGCGACGGTCTTTTCCCATTCTTACAGGATTGTCTTTGTCTAGCTGCTTGTTTTGATGGGTGTAAAACAAATAAGATTAGACTGAGCAGCCGAACTGAAAGCGATAGCTGGGAGGAAAAGCCAATGAAAGGTTGCCGGGGAAACGAGCATAGGGGAAGCTGAGTGGGGGAGCAGGTGGCAATCATGTGGGAATACTGCAAACAGTGTAAAAAAAAAACTAAAAAAAAAAAAGAAGCAGGGGCTACCTCGATTATCTCTGTTCTTCTTTGTGGCAGTCACAACTTTAATTATTCTTTATAAATAGGTGTTAATTACATTTCTGGCTCAGGCTTACAGTGATTTCTAGAAATCTGGTTTTAAGCATCTGTTCTTTCTCCTTTGCAAAAGAGGGTTATCTTTTTTTTCTTTCCCCCTCCCTGCTGTGAAATTGTACGTGCAAAAAATTGCAAGGAATCCTGTGAGGCAGTATAAAAAAAAATGTAAATTATATTGAATGAAGTTGACAGAGGTATAATAGTGAACTCCCACAGCTGATAGCTTCTGCAAATCATTTCTTAGAATTTTCCAGCAAATGTCCCTATGAGAACAGTAGGTAGAATGAATTTACCCTAAGCAGTGATTTTGTGTTAAGTGATATTGGTATTTTTACAAAATCAGATGGTTATATGGCAGAATAATCAGTTCAGGGGAGTTCACCATATTTTAGGGTTTAGGCACTGAGAGGAATTAACAAAAATACTGAAATTATTCTCCTCTTCTTCTCCAGCCCCACCTTTAGCCAGTCTATTCTATATCTGCTGGAGTAATATCCACTTCCAGTGTCTCGGGCTCCTTGTAGCAACTCTACTTTTTAAACCACAGCTGAATATTTTGTTAATTGTGATGGTCTCTAAATTGTAGTGGCAAACAATAATGGGAAAGAAATGGTGGTGCTAGAAGTGTTAAAAAAGCGTAGTAGACTAGTAAGTGATAGACGGCAGCGTAAAAGATATAAAAATGTGGTTGCCCAGAAAATGTTCATCTATCACACATCAGGAGGCATAAGAAGCAAAGCAAGAATATAGAACACGCCTTTCTTTCTGTCTTTGGATTTGCAGATATTTTTACTTTATTCCTTTCTCTGGTGCAGGGTTACTTGGAATGCGAATTCAAGCAGGGATAGTAGTGCTTGGTTGAAATAGGAATAAAAAATTAAATGCCCTTTTAATTTGCTTTAAGTATTGCTTCTGCTGCAGTCCTTTCTGTGAAAAAGTGATTGAATGACCCTCTGAAAACTGCACTGCTTTACAATGTAGAGGGAGAGAAAAAAATCCTGAGGGGGTGTGTGCGTGTGTAAAATTCCGTATTTTACAGTCTGTGCATGTGCAGAGATGCATTCTGACATGCATTGTAGTTGTACGTGAGAGTAAAATAATTTTTCTTCTGTCCAAAACAGAGATACTGTGTTCTAGATCTGTTAACTTAGTCATGACAATAAATAAGGGTGCCTTTTATTATACACAGCTGCATTGTTTGTTTTAAGAGTCATCAGCTAGTAGTTACATTTTCATTTTCTGTTCAGTTTCGTGTTTCTACAAAGATTTAAAAATAATGAAATCCTTGTTTTATGGTGCACGTGTTCCTGCCCTGATCTTCCTCTTTTCTTTGTTTTAAGATTATATTAATGAATGCAGCCTGCATGTACATAGTGACATTTTCTTTCTGCATGTAAAAGATTGCATTGTAAATCTTCCTATAGAAAAATAGTTATTAAGTTAGTGAAATAGAATTAAGATTGCTAGTGATACTAAATTATGAAAATGTAAAACCTTTCTGTTGAGACAAAAAGATACGGAAAATGTAGTTGTCCTTAGACATGACATTTTTCTTTTTTAAAAAAACTGTTGTCTTGGTGTACTAGTCAGAAAGGAGGCAATCTTACAATTGGATATTGATGCAATGTGAATACCAGCCATCAGTTTAAAATCCTGTCCCCATGTACTCTGCTAATCAAGTTCCCATGTTAGATAGAGGGATGCCTCTGCACTGGTGACTGGCTTGGTTGCCTCCTTTGCTTTCTTCCTCTATATTAATTTTACCTTTTTGAGTTCTCTCAAAGTGAGCCCGAGCTGTTGTGACAAAGGATGGTTACAATGAGCTAGAAGGGGTATACTTAAAAATCCCATTTGAATTGGTTTGAAATAGTCTTCGTCATCTTTATTTGGTCCTGTTAAATATTGTGACTCTATTGAAAGAAAATCTAGTTGCAATAATCTTACATATATTTAATGGATTAATTTTTTTTAAAAGAATATCTTCTAACTTACAGGGAATGTTTTTTTCTCAGCCTTCCTACTTGGTATGCTGGGAGTGTACTAATTAAATGCAGGTTATTTTCTGTGAATAATTGTCATACTGTTGGTACATAATCTAGAGCCACTCTACACCCTGAGGTTTTTCAAAAGAAATAAGGTATGATTGCATCCCATATTCTGACAGGGGAATTTGTTGTCTTCTTTGGGAGCTTGGACTTTGAAAATAATTTCAGCAAACAGCCCAGGCAAGAAATGGGCAGTGGAAGAGAATATTATGGTGAGAGGGAGAGAGATGCAGATAACTTGACAAATCCACTTGTCCATTTTGGCAATCTGTGTTCTCTGGACACCTCATTTACGTGCCTGGACACATTAAAATGTACATTTGTTTGTCTGTGGGACAGCTAACTGGATACACTCCGATGCACTGGCAAATACTGCAATGCAGTATTTTTTCAATGTCATTGGGGTTTTGGGGGAGAAGTGGGCACAAACAGTTTTCTTGCAAGTGAGGTGATGTTAAAAAGCATGGTACCTCTGTAAGGGATAGGCCAGATTTTGCAAAATTTGCTAATCTGTGATGGAAAGTCACCCCTCCCCCTTGCACTCCTCTCTGTCTCTTGCTCTTTTCCTTTCTCTGTAGGATGGAGGAGGAGATGGGTACATATGTATTTGTGTATGTGTGCATGTGTATCTTCCCTTGCCATTTAAATGGATGTTAAGGAAAACACTGGGATTTGGATGAGGAGGGAAAGGGTGTTTGTGTAATGTAACACTTCCCAACTGTTTCTGTAAATGTCCAGTTACCAGCAGTGTAGGACTTGGAGCAACTTTAAAAGAAGGGACATTTTTAATTTTCTAAGGAACTTTGTGAAGAGGAGGCAGTGTTACAATTCAACAAGTATGATAGATTAAATCCTAATAAAACATGTTTAAAGGGTAACTGTACCTTGCCTTAGCCTTTGGGTATGTTTAACCATTTGAGATCATGTAAAGGGAAGATGTTGGAGAAACTGATACTTAGAGACTGCTTGCTTGCTTTTTCC